AGCGTTTGTGATAAATATTTGAATGCTTTAAAAAACACAGTTGAGTAAGCTCCATTGTGCATGGTGTATTCTAACACTATACAAATACATTTTTTTGGCATCAGTTATACTGTAATAACTTCAAGTTGTTTCTTGAGTTGTAAAAACTAGTTTGATGAGAAGCTGTAGTTGAATAATCTTTATGTGATCATGTAAATCAGGATACATAGTAAAATTTGCTTTATTTAGAGTCGGTTATACTTAAGTTATGGGTGACCGATAGCATTGGAGAAGATTTCCAACCACTGAAGCCGTACTACAAATAAATATATTATTTGACACATCATATAACTGAAAATGAGCGGTAGAAAAGAAATTACTCGGAACAGGTTTGGATTTCTGAGGGAATATCAATTACCTAGCAATTACACATACACCTTACTGATTATTTTTAATTAGATTTATTTTAGGATAATGCTAATATATGATAACAAAAGACCTGTCGGGTTGTGACTTTACAAATAATTGATTCCTGTTTATTTTACAAGGCCTCTCTCTAGCACATTCTTGTTAGGTCTGAAACTGAGAAGAAATAACTAGTAAGCGTTTTTTCATAAATTTTTTAAACGATTTCCAGGGTATATCAGTTCGTGATGAAAACTACGCTCAAGTCATAGTTAAATCTGAGAATCAGAATATTTAAAAACTGACAGTATGATTTTGTCATCGTGATACATGGTGAGAATACAAATTCAAGAACTCAAATTACTTTAAGAATACGGTGATGAATAAATTCAGATAAATAGAAATTCTCAGTATAGGGTTGTAAAGATTGTTGAGTTTTGACTGAGATCATGAATCGATTAATATTAGGTTAATATTAATTATATAGGAAGAAAGGTTATCAAAATGATTATAATCAGAGAGAGGATTCGCGGATATTATAGTAATTTAATAGTTGAATTTATGAGTTAATTGAAGCTAGACCACCATGGAAAACCTGGAAGCACGGGATGGTCGTCTCATCCTAGTATGGAATCCCTCATCAGTGCGCATCCCAGATCCCGCCTGTGGAACCGAACCCAGGACCTTTGATTTCCCGCGCAAACGCTTAACTTCTAGACTATTTAATCAGCACTCAACAATGTTAATATCTGACGTCAACCAATCCACGATATTATGTGACTATCATCCGTTGTATTTGGTGTATAACTGTCTCCACCCAACACTGATTGATCTTCACTAGTCACGGCTTCTCACTAGAATTACTTCCAGATTCTAGTCAGTACTTAGCCTATGATAATTATCAGTATAGGTTTTCGATTGTGATCTAATATTGACTTCAAAATAGAAATTCTTAAAATTTCATATAATACTAAAATGAATTATACTAATCGAAATTTTCACAAAAACCATGCAGACTTCTACTAAATAATTTTACTTAAAACACTGAAAAATAAATTTTATTTCATTCATTAATTAAGTAGACCTCTAAAATTTCTTTTAAATATCTTAGATAAAACTGATTAATGTCAAAAAAATATATGATGAACTCTTTACCTTTATAGAAACATAAAATAGAACGGAAGCAGAGCAGTTATTTGAAAAGTTAAAATACTATCAATAATGTATGCATATGTATAATTAAATACGATTATTATTATTATTATTATTATTATTATTATTATTATTATTATTATTATTACTAGAGATTAAGGTTAGTATTTGAAGAACAAAAAGAAAATCTTCAAAGGTCATTTGTACTAAGTCTTCTGAATGGTAATAATAATGTAAGATGATGAATTATTATTTTTACCAAAATAGAATTTGAGTAGTTAGGTTAATTGAGGACATTCAAGTTGGATGAAGTAAGAAGAAAAAAAATTAATAAACAATAGTGATCAATTAAAATCAATTCAATTGATCATTGAATTTCATTTTGTGTGTATTATTTCTATTTGAAATGAAGTTTCAAATAACTTTTACATACTTAATATTCACAAGAAACAAATAGAATAAAATGATGGATGACTTCGAACGAGTTTATTACATTCATTTAGATTTATAAATAAGATAAATCAAGCTTTAAGCCTGAAGGCATTGTGTAATTTTAAACTCGAATATTCGGTTATAGATCTAGTATATGTGTTACATATATATAGCTTATATGTATCTGAGTATAATAATTTTGATGTATGCGTGTGCGATTTCATTGACAATCATTGTTTTAATGTTTAGCTATTTAAATATGTTACTAGAACCTGAATTGATTATATTATGTAATAACCACCCAGTCATTAGACAAATCTAGTTTGCCAGAACTGATAGGAGATTAACTGGATCGTAGAATGTGAGAACTTTAATTCCTTTGACAAAAGAAAAAAAGGTTTAAAGTTGGTTTTTGTCTGAAATTGTAATGTGAATAAATCAGCAGTAATCTTTGTAGTTCGATTTACGGATTAGGCTTAGGCAATCGTTAGAAACCAAGAAGTATTGAACAGGTATAAAATCTAAGGTCAGTTAGTGATGTCAACTATAAAACTTAGCAATTATCACAAATTCTCCAAACTAACAAAAGTCTACAGCGAACAAATTTAACTGTCTATCTACTCTCACTCCGATCAATGATTTTATGATCGGATTATGTTACCTCCAACAACATAAATGATATGATCAAATTAATACGAGTATTTAGTTAATTCAATAGAATTACGTATTTCTGATAAAATTTAAAGGTTTGTTTTTAATGGTAGAGTTTTACTTTAAATCGAATATCACAGTTAAATGGTGAATCAGTACTTTAGCAAATTTTTAAGCTATTCAATGAGTTACAGTGTTTTCATTTATTCAGTACATATTATTAGAGAATACGTTGAAGAAAGTGGATTAGTTTTTTTGAAAATCGAAAGATTGGTTTGAGTCAATCAAAAATAGTATTTGATTGTAAAAATGACCGATTTTTTAATTCCTATAATTTAAACTAAATAAGTAAGAATAAAAATGGGAACTAAGTCACTATGGACTCAAAATAAAACCTTAGAATAAATGATGAACACGTTCAGGTCGAATATATAATTAAATGTTGCAGATCAATTAAAATGTTCAAAACAAATAATAATAAATATTTTAGTAGTTGAGATCATGATTCATTTGGAGCTAGACCGCCATGGAAAACCTGGAAGCACTGGACTGCCATTTCAACCTATTGTGAGGATCCTCAGCACTGTGTATCCATGATCCCGCCTCTCGAGATTCGAACACAGAACCCATCAGTCTCGCGCGTGAATGCTTAACCATTAGACCACTGAGCCGACCGGCATCCAGTGGTGTTAGTGTCTAATTTCAACCAATCCACGAAATAAGAGACACATCCAACATTATCCTCAGTGATTTACTATCTCATTATAGACTCAGTTGAACTCCATTGGTCACGAGAAACGATAGATACCGGGTTCGAATCTCGCGAGGCGGGATTTCGAATGCGCACTGCTGAGTCCCGCAATAGGACGAAACGCCCATTCAGTGATTCCAGATTTTTCATGGTGGTTTAGCTTCAGTTGACTCATGATCTCAACTATTAAAATTACTATAACATCCACAAAAACCCCTTCTGATGATAATAAATATTTTTATTGTTATATCCCTATGAGTTGAATAATTGTATTTCTGACGTTTCGTGACTTGATATAGGCCATCTCTTCAAAGTAAATAAAGAAGTGAATTACATTAAGTCACGAAACGTCAGAGCTACAATTTTTCTACTCATTAAGATATAACAATAAATATATTTATTATTCACTCCCTACCCAATGTTTAACTTATTTGGAACTATCAAATCTGACCTTGGCATTGATACCTATAAACTGAAACCAAATGTTAGTAGAAATAAACATAGATTTTAAATTTGTTTGTAATCACTAATGCTCTTTTAAAAAACAACAAAAAGATCTTTACACTAAATAGTAAAGGCTATTTTACCTTCTTACATTCCTTCTCAAAAAAAAAGAATCCAGTTATAAACAAATGAGGATGTATTACAATTTTTTTTAGTTGTCATAATTTACATTATTAAGACTAAAGGAAATCATAACTACAAATACAGGAAATTATGAAGGTAATACAAATCAGTGTAATTAATGTTTAAGTGTTTTCATTAAGTAATTAAGGACTATATTTATGGTAAATTTTAACATAACATTTCTAGTGTTTATTTAACGAATTGCACTGAAGAGTTTATGACAACTATTTTCAAAAGTGTACTGTACTTTTTAATTTAATTACCTTATATTTCAGGTGAATTACATACCTGAAATCAGATAGAAGCACTAAGGAGAAACAATAAAAATTTCTGTTCTATTCTTTGGACAACGAAATGTGAATATTTCATAATATTAATAAATTTTAAAAGAAGTTAATGGTTTCTAGGTAGTGCGAAAAAATAGTAATAAACCAAATATTGTTCTACTCGTTCCAGGATATGTTTAATGTAATACTTGTAAATCTGTTAGCTACGCTTATATGTATTTCGGTACTGATTATATCAAGTTTGGAACTTAGCTGTTACCACTTAAAACCTCATATATATATATATATCATGCATAATGACTATTTGTGTAATTCATTTTTAAATTGATTAATAGTGTTTATGCTAGTAGAAGATGTCGTGATTGAGTAATCAAATAGGCAAACGTTAGGATGCTTAATTCATTCGCTGTGAGGTTAGTTTATTAGTGGAAAATTAAGCTCATTGTATTGTAGATTAATTAAAATTAGATATATTAGGTGTGTATGGTACGTTCAGAAAACAAATAGTTCATAAATTAAAGATGTTCAGTTTTATGAAATATTCTTAAATTACACTCCACTTGTTTTTAAGTTTATTCAATGATATTTAAATGAATAATAATAGATTACATGTATAGAAACCCGAAATTAAAGTGAATTCGAAATGAATTTTTCATGTCAAGTAGTTGATTGATTAATATTATTTCACCTGTTTTTTATTTATTTTTATTATCAAGACTGAACTATCTCAATCACTTCAAGCACTATCAGAAAGAGCTCGTTCAGCTACGGAGCACATACAACGTTTAAGATCGAAGTCAGAAACCGTTAATGTAAGTTCCTTTTCAGGTTGAATATAGGTAATATTTCATAATCAAAAAATTTATAATCAGTAATTACATATTATATCGTGGATGTGAGTGTATGTCTCTAATGATGTACACAATGATCTGAATGTATGGTCTATATAAACATTATTATCAAATTGTTAGACAGTAAAAATGTTAGTTATTTTTTGACATCTCAACAATCTTAACATATTTTAATTGATAAGATAATTTAGCTTTAGTTGATGGAAAAAATTAAAAGATAGACGGATAAATCACTGAAAAACCCGTAGCAAATAAAGTCCACCACTTAAAAAAATTATGTTTATGGTTTTCTAAATAAGTTTGGAAATCCAGTGTGGCAGCAGTAGGTCTTTATTTGTTTATTTAAACACATAAACATTGGTACAAGGAAGCATCAAATAGATGTGCGCCACATAAATCTTTCTATTTGCGGGATACTGGGGCTGAGATATTGCCTGGGTGGCAAAACCTAAGTAGGTGATTTTCTTAGGCGGCCACTTTCCAAGCCTTTGATCTGAAGGTCTAATCCTTAAGGCAGTGGAGCAACGTCAGGAGATGCGGTTCCATGGTAGCCGGTGACCAACGATTGGTTCATACGCCATTTGTTCCCGCAGGATCTTGGAGCCCATGTGCGCTATTGGTTTGGAATCAGGGTTTTTCAACTCCCCTAGGTGGACTCTTCGTGTCCACCAACCGGGTTAAAGCGCCGGACATTCACTTTTCCTCATCACAATTTCGTAACCAACACCCCCAACACAAGAAGGCAATGAGTAGAAATTTCCAGGCATTGTTTGCATGCACGTGATCGTGTGAGAGCATTTCGAGAGGGAGAGCGGACTCTCCCCACGCTCGGCCGTGCCAGGGTATTTGGGGGCTGAAGGCAGGTCTGGACATTCATCAAAGAAAAAACAAGATCCTAAAACATAACACAACGAGTACCAACCAAATCACATTTGATGGGAAATCTCTGGAAGAGGTGGAGACTTTCACGTACCTAGGCAACACTACTGATAAACAAGGAGAATATGATACAGATGTGGAGGCATAGATTGGCAAAGTAACGGCAGCATTCCTACAAGTGAAGATCTGGAACACTAAACAACTATTAGTTGATCAAAAGTCAGAATTTCCAACTTAAACGTCAAGACAATTCTATTGTACGCAACTGTGACTTTGAGATCTATCACAACTATCATCAAAAATGTACGGGTATTTAGAAACACTTGTCTACACAAGATCTATTGGCCGGACATCACCAGCAACAATCTACTCTAGTAGAGTACAAACCAGTTTTCAACTGAAGAGTAAATTAAGAAGAGATACTGGAGATGGATATAACATACATCGAGAAAATTATCAAACTTCATCATGAGGCAAGCCCTAAATTAAAATCCTCAGGGGGACATGGAAAGTCGCTGGCTTGGAATCGAAGGTAGATATAAAAAAAGAACAATATTTTGCAACAGCTTGAAGGGAAAACCCAGAATGGAGTTGGTTGGAGAGTCCTCGCCTGTGTCTATGCTTATCCACAAGGGTTAACATAAGTTAGTGAACATGCTGAGATCACATGAAAAATAGTTGAGATTTGAATGTAGTTTCCATTGCAACCCGAAACAACTTCATGAACACTAGAATATTTAGTAGATTTAGTGATGTCGCCTAAAATATTACTCCGAGGTGTAACTAAAATTGATAGATACTAAACAATGAAGATAACTATTAGAAAAGCGGATGATTCATCATGGGTCTTTCATGGCTTCTCTGGGGAGAAATATCAGCACAAACGTTTAGGTAAATAAACCATTTATCATCTACATCATGGACTGATTTTATTTAGACAACTACTGTATGTCAAGAAAAGTTGCACCGCTGTTTTGTTCTTGTATAGGACTACTCATTAGTAAGCACTCACAACTAAAAGGTGAATCGTTAATCGTTTAACTTAGGTCAGTCCGTAAACCCTAAATTTTTAACGATCTATGTGATCCCCTTACAATAAAAATTTATCGTAGAATTTTATGATTACGTTTAGACTATTTCTATATCCTGATTCAATTAACCTAAATCTCGAAGTTTCCATAAAATAAACGATTTGTTTGATTATACATAAAAAGTAGGGTAAATATTTTACTGATAAAGCATGAAACTAAACAAGTCATATCTATCACTATTTATCAACACATTTTATACAAAATGAGAACTGATTAATTGATGAGATAATGGTCACTTGATGGTCAATTATTTATTTAACTTGTCTAATTTTAATAAATATGTATGGTGATATTATGTGAGTAAAACAGAGCAAAATATCATAAGTGTATAATGCTTTTAACTAAACAGCACATATTGACTTAAAAGTTACTCAAATAAAATGATCGTGATGTAAATATATTTTTTGGGGGGTGAGGGAAGGATGGTCAAAATATTATATAGTAATATCTACAATTTGACATGTGAAGTAAGCTGGTAAAACACGATTATGAAGTTTCATCATGAGATTTTTTGATACTCATCATCAGGAAAAACTAGGCAAGATAATAAGGTGAAACTAGCAGACAAATATTTTAAAATACTTAGATAAAATATGTATTACTGGTGATCAGTGCCAGTGGTCCGCAGATGTGTATCATCTTGTTTGTTGCATAGATTGTTTAGATCATTTAACTCCACTTTATTAATCATGTTGTTCTTAATGAATCCAGAATATAAATTTTCCATAATGTACTTGAAAGTGCCAAAGAGTTCCGACTAAATCATGGCTTTACACCATAAAACTAATGGGCCGTAAATTTTGACGACTCAGTTCGTTATACATTTCTGTTTCGTATAAGTTTCCTTACACTTAGTTTTATCCCTGCGCTATGACTAGTAATTATTTGTTATTATTGATATTTATTCACTCTTACTACTTACCAAAGGTTATCAATCAAAAGCTATAAAATAACTTTTCTGAGAATGTAGATTAACTGATTAAAAACCTTAAGATAGCTACTGATAAACTACGCAATACTAGTTCTCATTTGTTTCCAAAGAGCTTGAAAAAGAAAGCATTTCTTATTATCAGAGGGGGTTTCGTGGAGATTTTAGAAATTTCATTAGTTGAAATCATGAATCAATGGAAGCTAGATCACCATGGAAACCCTGAAAGAACTGGACGGCCATTAAGTCTGTTTCAATACATGAGAATAGTTTAATAATTACACAAAAACACAGTACAGATATCATTTAAAATTCACCAACTCAAAGATATATGTCAAAAGATAAATATGGACATAGAAGTTGAAATCATGATTACCCATTAAATAACTTCAATCATCTAGCTCTATGTTTTTCTACATTTTATCTGATTGTTGAAATTTATTTTACAAAAATAATTTTGTTTTCTGATTTTGAATTTCATAAACTGTAAATTAAACACAACAAGAAAATGATTGATTCATTGGGTTTCAAAATTAATGAATAATTTTCAAATCGTGAAAATTCTAAAAAAAATTTTTTTCTTTTAACGGAAAACATTTAACGTGATTGTAGATAAGATAGGGAAGTTTTGTAAGCAATGATGGATAGTGGCTAGCAGTAGAATCCAGGACGCGCGTTTCATCCAGCTGACGAGTTCCAAATAGGACGAAACGCGCGTCCTGGATTCCACTGCTAGCCACTAGCCATCATTGCTTACAAAAAGCTTGTGAATCAAGGCAATATCGAGGCATACGCACAGTATGCACATATGCCAATAAAAAGACTGATCAGTTGCAGTCTTAAGCCTCAGTGGGAAGATACAAGCCAAACGCTACCGAGTGAAGATAGAAAAATGTTTGATAAAACACTAAGAATGAAATCATTTTTTTAAAATATGTTTTAAAAACCACCATATGTATATTACTAACATTTACGATGAAATATGTCAATACATTCCTTAGAATAAAGAGTGTCACGAGTTAACTATACTTAAAGTTTGAGTGTCTATTGTATCGCGTTATTAATATTTGTTTCAGCTACTGATTAGCAAAAGGTTTGACAAACTAGTATATTCATACGTTTGTAAGCTATTTTTCACTAGTTATTAGAGGAATTTAATTTGAATCCCACGGGGAGGGATCGCGGATGTGCACTGCTGAGGAGTCTCACAATAGGACGAAATGGCCGTCCAGTGCTTACAAGTTTTCCAGAATGCTCTAGCTTCAATTGACTTATGATCTCAACTATTGAATTTAATTTAGTGTAATTTTTTTGTTATCTTAATGATTTTATTCAGAAGTTATTTCTAAGTTAATTAATATCATTTATGAAGATTTGAACATAAAATGCACTAAGTAGAGAGTAAACAAAATTTTTATGTGTACATTATTTATTATTTGCTATTGAGGAATCGATTCTTTTATATTCTGATATCAGCTTAATAGGTGTTTCATTCTAGTTCGTGACTTCTTAGCTTTTTATACTTGCCATCTCTCAAGGACCTGTTACTTACACGAAGAGGGGATTCTTTATAGATGATTAATTTGAAACTCGATATTTCACATTTCCAGTCTGTCAGCACACAATATAGCGTTATAGTTATTTGGTAAGCTTATTGAATGACAGTCTTAATTTACTGTCATAACTTCTCACTAGAACTTTAGCACTTCATCTCAAAGTTAGTTGTTAGTATCCAAATGATTAATAGTATAATGAACACATTTGTAAAGTTTAATCTTCAGTACTAACTCAAACCCTTCGGAAAATCATTAAAACAACTGACAATTTGGTTAATAGTTGGGTTTCGTATTCAGGTAAGCCAAAGAGTGATAAAGTGATGATCACTAAAATGAGTTTCCAAAATTACTGCTTTTTTAAAAATATTTCCTCATTCTTGAATGTAAACATATATGAAAGTTCATGAAACCCTGTAGTCTAATGCAGATTTATTCAGTTGTATAAAAGCGATACACTGTTATGTAATATTTTAGTGATACCATTCAGTTAAGCAGTTGGAAATAAGTGGGTCTTGCATAAAGCTTGTGGCTCACCAGGTGAGTATCAATTATACTAATCAATAATCCGTAGCTCAACACAAAAAAACTATTCATTGACCCAGTTGACAATCAGTGAAATATTTAATGAGACTTATTTATTTAACTTTCAATAACTGTGTTTTATACTCTGCACAAATTATTTTTTTGCAGAGAAATCTTGCAGATTCAGAAAAAGAACTTGTTGAACAACTAAACACATTAATTTCTGCTATTGAAACAAAAAAACAAGAACTAACAGAGCGTTTACGAGACGAAAGAACCAAACGTATTCATTGTCTCAAGGAACAAATTAATCGTGTCACATCATTATTAACCAAATCAACTGGTCTTATTCAATTTTGTATAGAAATGCTTAAAGAAAGTGATCCGTCCGCATTTCTTTTGGTAAATTAATTCTTCATAACATATTCATGTTTCTAATTACCATATTATCTCATATTTGGTTAAAGTCATCAGAAAACATTACTAAGCAAAGGTTGACGGTGGCTAGCAATAAAATCCAGGACGCGCGTCTCTTCCTATTTGGGACTCATCACCTAGATGTACCTGCATCTCCGAGTTGATGTTCACTCTGGAACTCGAGTCCAGTACCATTTGCTTCGAATGCTACGGCCTCATCCACTTGACTACTGAGTCTTGATAACCACTAGCTTGGACAATGAGGTGTCGTTTAAATTCATTTTGTATTGTTTGTATTTGTCTCCTCACTGATGTTTAAGACGGCAGTCGAACAGTCTCTTATTGGCATATGTGCATACTGTACGGATTGCTTCGATATTGCCTCAATTCACAAGTATTATAAACAAAGGTGGATAGTGGTTAGCAGTATCAAAACAATCCGCAAACGATCCACATATGTCAATAAGATACCGGCCAATAGCAGTCCCAAACACCAATTAGAAGATTCAAACAAACAATGACAAATGAATTAAAAAACTTTACTGTTTTAATTATGAGTAGTATTGAATTAATCACTTTAAGATAGCTAAGTTAATAAGTTATAGTTCATTGTTGTTGTGAACCTTTGGAATTATATTTACTCAGAAGAAAACAAATACCAGTTAATGGAAAAAGTAATGACTAACAAACCAAAAATATTTTGTTATGTTACACTACTCATGAAGTAAAAGAGATTGTTTTCTAAATACTAAATATGTAAGCTATTTATCAGCATAGGGTTGTGGAGATTGTTGAGTTTTGATTGAAATCATGAATCGATCAAGGTTAGACCACCTTTGAAAACCTGGAACCACTGTACGGTGTTTCATCCTAGTATGGGACCCCTCAAAAGAGCACATCCACGAACGCGCATACGAAACTCGAACCCGGGACCTTCGTTAACGAGCGTGAAAGCTTGACCTCTAGACAACTGACCCGGCATCCAACAACGTTAAAACACTTGTCAGTCTGTTTCTTTAAATGAATTAATTGATCGTTATGAATAAAACATGAGTTGAGATTTAATATGAGAATTATTGGTTTGAAATGATATGAATTATAAAGGCCAAAATTCAAATTCCCTTGGAAGTATCTCTAAAGAAGCGTTAAACTACAGTGTGCCAGAATATCAGATACAAATTTGAATTCAGTAAACACAAAGTATGCTTTTGAGCTTCAAATTAATAAACAGGCAGAATAATTTTAATCTGCTTAATCCCAAAATATATATATATATGATTATATTTCAGAAAGTGTGGTGACTTAATTTATAGTTCGTGAAGTATAGAAAATGAAGTCGGAAGTATGAAATTGTTCAAATCTGTATTTAAAAAATACTTCTGCCTAAGCCCCATATCATATTTCTTCTTCACCTCGATGCATGAGTAGATAAAAGAGTACGAGTTATTGGATTGTAAATCAAACTTATCTCAAATGTTGTTGAAATAAAATCCCTCCTACCTCATTGAAAGTAATAGAAAAAACAACATTTGACCATTAATTGTGATATATTCAGTATTTTCCTAAGAAAATTATATTCAGAAATAATAATCCATTGAGAAATATAGTTATATAAAAAAATATTTTGTAAATAGTCTCTTACTATCGGTTTTATTGATTTCATAATGTTCTCTAGGATAAGAAATATTTGTACATACTGAAAAATGTTTGAGAAGTTCAGTTGATTTTTCAATGTTAAACAATTTTTATTGTATGTACTAATATGTTTGAATATTAACAAAATAAGCATATATATCTATGGCATTTAAATAGTTAAATATATCATTAATTTCTTGATAAATGATACTGATGTTTACAGTTTGCAATAATTAATCATATATATATATATATATATATATATATATATATATATATATATATATATATATATATATATATATATATATATATATATATATATATATATAAGTATTCTTTATTGACAGAATACATTATTGCTGTTACTAGGTGGTAATAACACTGTTTATTACAGATCACATGGATATCAAATATATCTGTTACCGGTTGAATACAAATTAGATAATACATTTTTTGACATTTTCATTATGACATTTTAATGTAATTTTAATTTATATTAAACAATAATTATCAATGTTTATTCCAATAAATATCCATTGTCTTAGACTAGCCATATTGATTAAATATCATATGGAGAATGTGTAAAAGTAAATCAATTACTTAATCATCTATTAAAATATTTAAGTATATAGTTATTTTAATTCAAATATTTTTACATTTTAGGTATCTCAATCACTTATCACACGTACTCAAAATGCAGAACAAAATTTTATACAAGAACTTCAACATACTTCATCCACTAATGATATTACTGGATCTTTATTATCACTTGCTTTATCATCAAGTAAAGATTATTCACATCATTCACCTAAGAAAAGAACACTTAAATCAACTGAAGAGATTTCTGGTAAATACAACATTCCTGCTAGTAATGTTAGTGGAACAAGTACATCTAATCGATTAAACAAAACATTGGATTTATTAGGTGTGAATAGTGTTGATGCAATACATCGAGCAATTTTAAATTTAGGTTTAGAAGAAGATCAAAGTAAGTAATAAAGCTTCATTGTAAAGAGATATCCCTTACAATATATTAAATTGTATATTTTAAAACCTAGAAAATAGTTTTATCTAATTAATAATTAAAGGATATTTTGAATCGTTGATTAAAAACACACTTCACATTCTATGACCTCTAAGATATTACTACCATAATTTAATTGTCAACAAGTAAGAAAGTTTCAATTTTTATCGATTAACTGAACATATCAAAATGAAGAGATTAGATTTAAATAAAATATCTTCTATTTTGTAATATTTATCCATTTCTGATGCTATGTGCTCAGTAACCTAAATGGTTACCTATTCTAAACTGTAACTGAGATTTACTTAATGTTCTGAAAAAAAGATTAATTCAGTGAATTATTAAAGAAAACAGTTTTTTTTTCTCGAGACGAATACAAAGTTAAATTTGTCTCCTGCAATAAAGAAATTGATTTATCACAATCTTAAGGTAAACGGTTCGTAATCAATATATATATCGGCTTAAATATTTTCAAAGAAAAAAAGAACTGGACAGAGTAGTAGTGTATAACAACAACAAAAACAAAATGCAATCTAACTAAAATGTAATTCAGCCAAATAAATAATTCAACTCTTAGTTATTGTCAAAAAAGAAGGTAAAGCTTAAAAAATGTTACATGATCTATTCTATATATGAACTCATTAATAATTGATTACCATTAGGATAAGTTAGTTTACTTTAACTATTGATGTCATTAAGGTAGGTAATAATAACAAAACAGTCATAGTTCCCATCATAGTACAGTTTGAACTCGATATCCTAGTGGTTAAGCGCTCGCGCGCGAAACTGATAGGTCCTGGGTTCGAATCTCACGAGAGGTAGGATCGTAGATGCACACTGCTGAGAAGTCCCATGCTAGAACGGAATGGCCGTACAGGTTTTCCATGGTGATCTAGTTTCAAGTGACTCATAATTTGAACTATTGAAATTACTAAAATCTCCACAAAACCCCTTCTAATATAATCTGTCCTAAAAGTGTAAATAAACTAGCAATTATTTTGTGAATATATCACGTTTTAAATTTAATAAGAATGAATGAAATGTATTTGTATACAGTGAAGCGACTAATTAACATGTTTATGTTATATTTAGTTCATTTTCTTCGTATAGAACTATTTACTTCTTATTGACAATGAGCTTGTAATCACTTTTTTACTATTAATTTCAAAATAAAGAATGATTCTTATGTATCATCTAAAGTTTGGTTATACCACTTGAAAAATGATTTAATCTGATAAAACCAACTTTATCATTATAGTGAAATGTAAAAGTGACCATAGAGTTACATATAGAACAGAAGCAAGAAATTTTCATCATCTATTGTTATAAGAAAAGCATAGTGATATTAATTGGTAGTTTGAAAACTGATTGATTGATGATAAACTAGTGAGAAATAGCCTTATCATAAAACAAAGAAACATCTAAAAGACCTGCGTTATTAAAAATACTGTTATATTTGATAGTTTTGTTTGTTGATTTAATAAATGATTCTTGTGAAAGTGTTCAAAGTTAATTATATTCATATTTCTAAAATCATATCACCTAATGTTGACATACATAAAGTATAAGTTAGATGTCTAGCTTTGTATTGTATCTGGCAAGAATAAATGAGCTCATTGAAAGCTGTATGACTGAATTATAACTCAATTATGAACGTATGCTTTATAATATGTTCATCAGAAGTAAAAGATTTTTCTCATCTATATGAAATCTCTATAAGCTTTTATCTACATATCCAACTATATATATAAACTATGAGTTAGCTAAGTGCAATTACATATACTCACTAATATACATGATTATTGATTAAACTGGCTTTCAGTCTAACTTGTATCCTTGTTAATCACAGCATAGAGGATAAATCAACTATTCCAAACCTGTCCAATGAAAATGTTAATATATGTATAATATTAGATTTGTATGATATATCTTTCTATAATATGAAACATAAAACATAAGAGCTGAAATAAAGCAGAATTACTAACCGAATGTTAACTAGTCTGTTATTACATATTTCTTAGCTTGGTTTTTTAACTAAGGTAATTGCTTCTGTTATTGTTGTTGGTCACCTTCTTGTTTCGCATTTACAAATCCCTTTTTCTCCTTTACAGTTAATTTATTTACTCATTTGTCTTGTAGAATAAACTAGTAGGAGGTGGTTGACTATATTTCTGATATTCATTTTGTTCATTTTAATAAATTAAAATAATTATAATTTCTTTATTATTTATAACTTGTTTGTCATATATATGTCACACTATTACTTACAAATGCATTTGGTTTTTTGGTTTTAGTTTGTACGTTATTGCTGAGGACAGACTAATGGCATTGTTTTTCTGAAATATAAATAAATAGACAAGATAGTAAAAATAAATTTCTCAGTAAGTAAACTCAAATAATCTCACGAGTGGGATCGCGGATGCGCACTGCTCAGGAGTCCAACAATCGGACGAAACGGCCATTCAATGTTTCCAGGTTTTCAATGGTGATATAACACTGATCAATTCATGATCTCAATCAAGAATTTAAGTTTTAATTCCCACAAAAAGTTTAGTATAATTTGATCACTGATTATATGCGTACATAAATCAAGATTTTTGTAAGTAATCAGTGGAGATTAAACAAAGTTGTTCACATTGACTGATTATTGAATAATATCCAATGTAAGTTAACAACTAGAATAAGTATTTCAGTCTTGAAGAATGTCAGTCATTGCCTAAATAGCTTAATGACAACATTTATTTGTGAAATTGGGTAATACGTGCTTGAATGTTATATGAACGACTGATTTCTCTCAAGATTTCAGATGGATTCAGTAAACGATTGCAGTTATAACTTCTTGTCAAATGAATTTACAAACGTAATATTAAGTGATTTACATTTTTAAATAGAATTTATTTTTTATCAGTATATCTTATACCATTGTTGCATATTATCAATAAGACTTGTTAAGTAGTGCCTGTACAAACTTCTAAGTCATTCAAATAAAAATACTAAATTAATCTCTTATTACAATACATTCAAGTAAATTACATTCTATTAACTTTTGATTATTTCTAATTTACAAATAAAACAATTATCCACAGAAAAAAAACACAACTTTACTGATATGAAATAAGACAAATCATGAAAACTAGATAAACGAAAAGGTTGACTATATCAATCAAGGTATTTGAAAAGAAAAACATTTAGAAAACAGTAGTCATTTTTTTAATACATAAACTCATAATGTATTTCAACACATATCAACATGTAACTTCATTACCTAATCACATTATGCTCATAACTTTTAATTAGGTGTAAGATATTGTCTTTTATGATAATAGATTATAAGGAGATAAACATTTAAACCAACACAAGAGGAACAAATTTAAATTAATGATAAATTAGATTATTTGTATCATTGTGGTCAACATGTTTGACGTTGTTACTTGAAAGTTTTCTCTGTTAACATTGTCATACTACGAGTTAACCAACTACTAATCTATTATTAAGATACGAACCATACTATAACACCTAATGGCGTTTTTAGATTGTCACCTGAATGAATAAATAACTTGCTGTCTAAGCTATATGATAGATATCTTCATGCGTGAACAAGAAAGCTCACTCATAAGTTTATATAAAGTTGTAATAGTCGTGAACAGACTCAGAACATAAAGTGCATATTATGATCTAAAAAAAACTATAAGAATGTTTGACATTCCGGAAAATCAGTGAAATTACAGGTAAACAACAAAGGTAGTATTACATAATTTTTATTGCGTCATTCATTAGTTCAACTCTTTCTGAAGTTTGATTACATCATTGTTGTTGATTTTTCAATTCATAACTGACTGGTTTCAAATCACATCTTTCTTTATTACCATTAATCTGTTTTCAGTTGCATCATTACACAATCATTTATTGTTAACATCTAAGTAACGAGTCCGAAATAGGACAAGACGCGAATCCTAGACTCCGCTGTTAGCTACTAGTCATTTTCCCTTAAAAAAACTTTATTTGTTATAAAAATTAGAATTCTTAGAGTTTTCACAATTGATTGATCACTGGGTGGTGATCATTCTCATGCTTGTCTAGTCCTTATTAGTGCAGATCGAATGCTATCGACCATGTTGCAATGTGGCCAGCAGTCTAGGTGACTCGACACTGCGGGCACTATATATTGAGATTAGATGGTGGTTGGAGGTAGTCGACAGGAAACTCTGGACCCGGGTTTCGTGCTACTTGGCACTCGTCAGCAAGGTGTACCTGTAATCTTGAGGGAACTGATGCTCCCTGGCGGATTCGATCTCGTGTCACCCAGCTCAGTGGTAACGTCTCTGACTGTGAAGCTGGGTGACACGAGATCGAATCCGCCAGGAAGCATCAGTTCCCTCAAGATTACAGGCACACCTTGCTGACGAGTGCCAAGTAGCACGAAACCGTGTCCAGGGTTTCCTGTTGACTACCTCCAACCACCATCTAATTCTTAGAGTTTATTGTATATAAAGGAAGTGCATTATTTCATTCTATAGTATGTTTAAGCAGGGTTACGATTACAAAGATCTTAATATTAGTTTAGGATTTATTCTATATTTTAATATATAAATGTTTATATATTCTATAATAATGCTTTTACTGGAACTAATAGTACACTATTATTCTTTTGTCAAATTCATAAATGGTGTTTTTCATAGAGCTGAACCTATAAATAAATATAGTATTTTTCTCACATTAAATAATGGTTATTTCATATAGCTATGAGCAATATTATAACCATGGTAATGATTAAAATAATAACAAATTGGCCTATATTTCTGTTTGTAATTTATTAGAGAAATAAAAGAAAATGAGAAATAAAGAAATAAATAGCTATTAGAGATTTTGATTTATTCAAAGCTAACAAGAATCTGAACTTAACATGATAAATAGATAAATTCCTATTATGTTTAATTGAACACTTTTGCTTCCCTTGAAAAAAT